TATGTAAAAAGCAGATACAGGTTTATTTGAGACACCTGTATTTCTGTAAGATATAAACATTAACGGAATACATAATGTAAAAGCAAAAGCATTCAAATAAAAAGTAAAAATTAAGAGATGAAAAAGACAGACATGCATTGCGTATTGTTCTCTGAAGATTGCTAGAAAATTGTGAAAATAGATAGGGAAACTTTTTCATATAGTTGAAAAACCGTCCATTATAAATACCTTTATTCTTAACAAATTGCGTTTTCGCAGGAGAAAAAGAGAAAAATATTGCTTATGTAATGGATAATTTAAATAGTCATTATTAATGAGATGAACATATGTATTTTGAGAACGACAATTTTACAATGTCAACATATGCCCAATAGAAGATTCATATCGTTTGTTTCATAATTACTGATGGGGGTATCAGAGCGATTATTATTATTTTAAAAAATTTAACATTAATTTAGATGATCTACTACTTCCTTCAGTAGAAAATTACTTTTTTGGGTCATCAAAAAGTCTCTTAGTGTACACTAGCATTATATAAATATTTTTGTGTGCTATATTAAGTATTACAACATTCAATCGAATGATATAGTCTAAATCAACAATAGGAAAGAATTAAGTTGAATTATTATATCTTATAAGGAAGATGGTTGATTTATTGAATGTTTTATTTCTGTGTCAAACAAAAAAACTGACATCATAATAATCTACAATGTTAACAACAGTGATATCCAGATGACTACTACTTTTAAAATCAGCAATATTGATTGAATCAGATGAAGTACTAACAGAAAAAGTCATTTATGCTCCAAAAGAATAATTAACAATTCCAAGTAATACGTTCACCTTATTGGAGCCTGAATTAGCAACAATCAAATCTGATTAATTATCGTCATTAGAGCAACCAATAGCAACTTCTGCTTTCAGTTAAGACTGAATTTTGAGTCTAGAAGTTTTAGTTATCATTCTTTGGAAACACACACATGTTTCACGATCGATTGCCGGCAGAAAAAAAAACTTGCTAATAATTACAATAATAGTTTGTGACTAATGCTGTTCTAATTATAGCAATTGAAAAAGAATATATATTAATGAGATTTAGTTCATTGGTTTGAATAATTAGAAAGAATAGACATTTTGATTTGTATTATTTGAAAACTGATTATTTTCTATGATTATTCTTCAAAAAAAAAACTATTAAAATTACTTTATTTTCTCTCAAGATTAAAATTTATTCAGTTTGAATTTTATCAAAAACTAGCTCTAATAAATTGATCTTAACACATATTCGATATCTAACACAAAACTAGTACCGAGAATGATTATTGTACTTTTCTTTTACTAGCCGCTTGATGATTGTTCAATCGACAGTTTGATATATGCAAATAATTTTGACACAATCAGATATTAGTGATAAATCAAATCAAATCTGAAAAAAAATGGATCAATTAAGGATGACTTGAGCCAATCTACGCTAGAGTAAACACTCACGAGCTCACCAGCTTTGTAACACAGAAAGAAAGAGAATTTTTTGTTTTCCTTGGAACAAGAATACGTGTTTCTCAATAGAAATGAGCTTTTTTATGTTCATGTTTCCTCATTTATATCTTAGCGAAACAGTGAACAAATAAGCCCAAATTTAACCACTGACTAAGTACATGTCTTGTCTAGCTATTGATGAAAGAATTTTAAAGAGTTCAACAAGTCATCGAGTGATGAGCAGTACAATAAAATTGGTTCATTGCTTTCGAAATAAATACAATATTCGCAATAAAAACGCTAATGCAAAAGTTACAGTATACTAGGAATGATCAACATAAATATTTAGAAGATCAAACATTGCTCAAAAATTGTGTTATATCTGCTTATAAATCTCGAAATCGAGTCTAGCGTTCACTAGAGAATTTATTTATTCTAGTTTTCTGTACCACTCTACATAGGATCAGGTTGATATATTGCTCTTTTGATTAGATATACTTTTACTAAGTTTCATTAACCTCAGTCAAAACCGTTCTAAACGCGTGCCTTATCCATAATTAGAATGTATGTAGAAATTGTGGTATGAATTAGAATAGAAATATATAAAATGCATGTAAATTATTCTATCTCACATAATTTTATTTGTGTCTGCTACCTGATATCAAAATCAACCGACTGTTCCGAAGCAGAAGTTGTTTCGCTCAATTTTCTCTATAATGTACTAGTAGTTCAGTTCCATATGGAAAAACCTTAATCATAATTAGGTTCATCATTCAAAAACAGAAATTAATAATTTTTATGGATGGAATCGGTGAGTTTTCACAAAAATCTCTTTTTTTTAAGAAATCGCGTTATGTTACGCTGTTGTTTATGGATCATGCAAAAATTGCATTGATTTTTCTTTACTTGTTCCCTTTGAATAATTTCTACATGCTCTATTAAGAAAACAAAAAATGTCATAACTTCCATTGCTATTAACTCAAAAAAATCAGAAAAACGAAATATCGTATGATGAACCGAATATTCAAATTAATATCTAAAATTTAACTTTTTCTATGTACTATAGAAAAATCTTATTTTAGTACAATTTTTGTGCCATTGCTTGTTCCTGAGTATGATGAAAAATGAATAATAATGATTATTTTATATGAGTTATCCATTAAAAACTATGTTGTCCTTCATAATTAACGTTTGTTGAATGAAACGCATTACTGATAAAAGGATAATAATAATGATTTGTTTTTCGAAGCTCTATTACTTTGACGACTACTAATAGACTATGATCTTCCCGAAAGTGTGTCCAAATCGTTGCGCTTGTCTTTGATGTTAGAAATAAATTTCATATCTATTATTCAGTAAAGATATTTTCATACAGATATGTTTTCACTGCATCTTGATGCATGCAATTCAGACCGAATATGATCGATTCAGTCAGTAAACTCCTGAAATATACTAATACTTCTAGAGCATTCGATAGTTTTTCTTCGTTTTCTTTCTTGTTATAAGATTAGTGAGTTACTTTCTTTACAAATCAGATTGAAAAATATTAAAATATTCATGAAATCAAATCTCGACAGGCATTCTAATTAGCGACAATACACTTACTTAGAACGTTTTTGACTGAGGTTAATGAAGCTTAGTAAAAGTATATCTAATTAAAAGAGCAACATATAAACCTGATCCTATGTAGAGTGGTACAGAAAACTAGAATAGACTAGATGGTATTCGAGTTTCGACTCGAATACGAAATGCGGTGCGAAGCACGAATCTCTTGAATTTTCGTAAAAACGGTATTTCGTAGAAAACGAAAATTCGATTGCCGAGTTAACAGAAATCGTCATTTTTGGTTATACGCCATTTGGATTTTTAATGAAATCGATTTTTTTCATATAAATAATATTTGTTTTTTAAATAATATTTTAGGTGAATATAATTATAATAATCTAAATAACAACGATTTAGTGTATATCAAAATCACTCAAGTGCAACATTAAAAAAAAATTAAATTATAATTTCACTTTATGTATGCAATTGTAACCACTAGAATTTTATAACAAAAAAATTTAGAAAAAAATCGTTTTATACATAATAAAATTTTCTTTATTTTGATGTTGTCTTTGTTTGAAGCAAATCTTGTAAATTACTACTAATCTAAAAATTAAAAATAGTTTTTCGAGTTAATTTTTTAAATTAATTTAACATCCTATTTTATCATCAAAAATATTACAATGATCTATTAATAAGACTTGAATGCAAGATAAAGTATCGGTAATCTGAAAGTAAGAATATTTCATATTTAAGTTAATATTAGAAATTTGTAGTCTACCATTTTATCAAGAAGTGTATTCAACAAATTTTTTTAAATAAAGTTTTCATATAAGAAAACTTATTGTTGAGCTGAGAATAGGTTTTTTTCAATTAACATACAGAATAGTTTAAACTACTATTATGTTGCCAGAAGTATCAATATAATGTATTAGTAAGATCTTATTGTAAAACAAATGATTGATGGACTGAAAATAAATTGTTTTCTGTTGAATTATTATGATAAGCATCAAGATAATGTATTAATAAGATATCGTTGTAAGACAATTTATTGTTGATCTGAAAAAATAGAATTTTTTTTTCACTTTATATTATATATATTTGATTTTACCATTTTATTGTGACATGTAACAAATTGAACTGTTAATAAGATTGTTATGTTGGGCAAATTAGTGCTAATCAAAAAACAAAATTTAGTAATCCATTTAATTAATATTAAAAATATTTGACTTACTAATTTATTTTGAAAATTATAGAACCAACGTTTAAGGGGAGGCCCCCCTCGGAAACCAACTTTTTTATTTTTCATCCGATTTCAACCAAAATTTCAGAGGATGTTAGTCTAGGCTAGGAGAGATTATGGTTAAAATATCTCCCACAAATCTCCAATAAACTAATGAATTATAGTCAATTTATTGGTCAAAAGTATCCTGTGCGCGGGCAAGGATTTCACAATAAGGATACGAGCTATCAAGCCCGGGCGATTTTCAAGTTGTAGAGTACCCTTAGGGCTAGATCCTCCCAGGGCCCAATTTTTGGGTGTTGGTGTGGGTGGGTGTGGATGTGGGTGGGTGTGCGGGTGTGGATGTGGGTGTGGGTGCCGGTGTGGGGTGTGGATGCGGGCGTGGATATGGGTGTGGGTGGGTGTGGGTGTGGGGTATGGGTATAATATTCTATTCACTCATACTCACACCCCACACACCCACACCCACACCCACACCCACACCCACACCCACACACCCACACCTACCAACACCCACACCCCACCTGTCTATCTAACTATATGAGAGAATGTGTGGAACTCACCGGTTATGTTCTTTTGACTTCCTATTTACCTATCTACCTACATACCTCTGTGTTCAGGGGCTGAGTCCGTTTTTTAAGATGGATTTAAATTCCAGTGATAATATCACTGAAATATGTCATGAACTCCCTTTCTTTAATTAAAAATCATTAAAAAATTCATATTAACATAGAATATGAAATATTTCTCGAGACCATTTCTTGCTTTAGTTCTTTTCACATTCGTCATGTCTTCAATTCTTTGTTCTAATATTAATACAGCATCGTCGAAAGATCGCAAATATCATATTATCTTGATATATCTTGTTCACGACGACTGGTATTACGGAGGTGGTTATTATGAATCATTCTCGAAATTGATGGGTGCTGTTGGTGGTGAAACACAACAGAAAATGCTCGATGATGCCTATGAATTATTGGAAGAAAGTATGGAAGATAAAGATTGTATTTCATTTGATATTAAAAATATCAAGTAATTCTGTCGTGTTTGATCTTGTTGAATGTCACAATGAAACGGAAATGGTCACAGCTCTTAATCTTCGAGATAAAGGACCAAGTTATGAAGAGACTAACAATAGTGTTTTAAAGTAAGATATTTTCATTTCTCTCATAAAATAATCATAAATTAATAATGCGACAATTGAATTTAGAATTATTTCGAGATTTTGGAAACGTCTGTGAAGTTTTCGAATTTCGATAAAAGTATATATAAATCCTGGGTTACTAATAGTACGAATAGATGAGTTTGTGTGACTAAATTTTGACATTTATTCAACAACATATTGGAAGGATAAACATGTATCACTATTGATCATAAATAAGTTCGTAATAGATCTTGTCAATAATCATGTTTAATAACAATAAGATAAACTTGTTTCTCAATCTGAATAATAATATTTTTTGGCCTTAGGTATTTTTAAAAATTCTTATAAATATCTTTCAAGGAATAATATAAAAAGCAAAAGATTTCAGAGGTAGATTGAATTTTACAAAGAAAAAAAAAATTCTTTTCGTTTGACAAGACATGAAAATGTGAGCTTTTTTTAAAGTTAGTTTAATGCATTTTTATGTAATTTTTATAGAAGTATTATGATTTAAAGTTCTTTTCTGCTAGAAAAGACACGTTCTTAATTGCTTAGAAAATTTTCTGAAAGCTATATCCGATTATAAGTGAGTCTGTGTTATCATCGACACACATGTATTTCAAATAGCCTGTTCTTTACAAGAATTTAGTTTAAAATAAGTTCACAATAATATAAAAAATATGAATTAATAAATAAGTATTAACAATTACAAAGTAAAGATTTAATAGAATTTTTGATTATATTGATAGAAATGAATATCTTTTTTTATTGACTATAGATGAGACTTCCTTATTGAGAATTGGAATTTTATCATTGTCTAATTGCTTTATTTCAGTTAAAAATTGACTGAAACATTCAGATATAGCAAATAAATAAATTATTTTTCATCAATATATAATGTCAAAGATACATCGAGTGAATATTATATACTTCCAGTATTCTCATGTGTATCCTCAAGTCTTCTCGATATCGTTATCGACAACTAGAATAACAAGTTCTAAATCTCTTACTCATTGTGAATTCTAATATGAATATTTTTCTTAATATAATAATGACAAGAGAAAATTTTTAATTAGATTTCTTCAATTTCTTCTCCAGTATATTTCATACTGTCATAGTATACATACTGATCGAAACAATTTTATCATTTATTTCTTTTCTATTTGTATTCCAGCATGCGGAACAACAAGGATCATAAACAAGGTGCTTAACACAATATTTGATCTCGAACTGGTTCATTGATCAAGTGAACTTGTCGATAACTAAATGAACCGTTTTTTTTTCATTATTCTTGCTAGTTGACATTTTTCTTTTGGTTTGTGTCTTGTCGAATAGACTTTATGAACACTTATGTTATCTTATGTTGCTATTTGAAATAAACATTTCTCATCATGCAGTACATTTCAATAAGAATCTATCACAAGCTCGTGAATAATCAAAAAATCAATCTATTTTAACTCACATCAGATAACAGTTGGTCGATATCCACAATATAAAACTGTAATCGATCTTAACTGACCACAATCCTTCTGTTTTTCACCGAAAACCCAATATTGTAATCTATGTTTATCACAATTACCAAGACAGTACTCTATAAAATCAAAAAGTATTTTCTTTTTAACTATTTAGTAAGATTATGTGATAGGATCTTATTTTAGATTATTCTTTATTCGAATATCTTTTCTCCTGTATTTTAAATTTTTAATATTCTTTTTTGTGATTCTTTTTTTAAAATTGGATATAACATTTTGCCAACAACGTTCATTCAATGCCCGGCTTACAAATGCTACTCCTTTTTCTCCTTTTTGCTGTTTTTATTATGAAACTCAGCATTGAAAGGATTGGCAAAAACAGAATTAGAGAATTTTGTGAGGTTATCGCCTTTCCTCATGATTCCCGATCAAAATCGTCTCTTAGAATTCTATCGGGCTCGATTAAGTTCAACTGAATTCGGTTTGAAAGGGTGTGGGTACGTTTTTATCGTTTCAAATGCCCACATCCACACTCACGCTCACACCTAACTCAAATAACAATGATAATAGTAACAATTTTATTATCGAACGTTCTGATTTCAATTGACAATTAGGTAATTGTATAAGATTATAATACTTTTTCTAAGGTCAGTAACATTCATATGTGGTTTTTCTTGCTTGCATCTTCTATTTATTGATATTAAATTACTATATACCTAATTGTTTAAAAAGCCTTACATTTAAATATTTTATGTTCAGCATATAAGACAGATGACATGCTAAGCACTCTATCATCTATCGTAGCTCATTAATATTTTGTTGTTATCAGAATAGAATGTATCCAATGCTAAAAAAATTTTATACGTATATATGAGCTTTTTGCTGAGTCCGAACAAAATCAGCAATTTACTTGAAATCTTATCAATTTTTGAATAAATACTGTTTTGTATTCTACAATGATAATAAAACTTCAATGATATAATACTTATCAGTATTATAGTCATTATTGAAGATGTAAATAGAAGATTCATTTCTATTTTTTTCATTTAGTTACTAATTATATTCAAAAATTAAGTCAAATTGTTGATAAATTACTTGTGAAAGTCAGTTACAATTCAAAGAAGTTTCAATAAGACATTAAGAATGCAAATGTGTAAATTAGCACTTTTCTTTTTCATCTTTACTTCAAACTGAGTCCTATACGATAATAATATGACTTCTGAGAATAAAATTTTCAACATAGACAATAATATGTCTTTATAGAATATTTATTAAGATACAGCAAAATTTTTTCTAACTAAAAATCAGATATTTATTTACTCCAACTAAAATTCACAATTAATTAAAAGTGAATAAAGTCTGAATGGGAAATTTTTCTGTTTAGTATTGTTTTCTATTGCATTGCTTGAACAGCTTTCCATGATACTCGTGCTGTAATTTTATCCCACCATTGTTTAACATGTGGTCGTGTTTCAAATAAATGACCTTCACCAATTTTAACAAGCCATGTACCATAAGGTAAATGAAATAAATCAGCCAAAGTAAAATTCTATACATAATTTAAAAACAAAATATATTAAATAAAATCCTCTCTCTAAAAAACATTGATAATTACTGTTCCGCCTAGATATGGTTGTTTAGATAAAATCTTTTCATAAACATCTAAGTTGGCAGTTAATGTTGCTTTTAATGAAGCTACTTTAGCTTCATCTGGTTCACCTTGTCCTTTCATTCTGAATTCAAGAAAATTTATATGAAAAACAAAAAAACGATTTTTTTTGTTTTTTTATAAAATAATGTTTACTTTTTAAAAACTCGTTCTACTACAATACCACTAGCATATGGATCAAAATAAGATGTTTCTATTGATGCTGCCTGTTCAAATAGACCTTGTGCTTTTATGTCTTTTGTTGGTATTAGTTCAGTACCTTTGCCTTTATATTTCAATTCCAAATATCGGCAAATAGCTCGTGATTCTATACATATATAAAATAAAAATTCCTAAATACAATTAAACAATAATAACAACAACAACAAAAACAATGAACCATAAATTTGGAAACCATCTTCATCAATTAATACAGGAATAACACCAAATGGTTGTTTTTCTTCCCGATATTTTTCAGTCTAGTGATTTAGTTTTTATTTTTAAATAAATAGATATTTTCTCTTTATCTTACTTTATGTTCACCACCAGCAAAATCTACTGATATAAGTTTAAAATTAAGTTGTTTTTCAGTTAATGTTGCCATTACACGTTGAGTACATGTTGACATAGCTAAGCCATATAAAATAATCTGTGTCTTGTTTTCCATTGAGATTCTTTTTAGTACAAGTCTAAAATATGTTAATTATAACTGAATCATAAAATACGTATTATTTATTTTAGATATCTAGAAATTAGTTTATAAACTACAGAGAAAATAAATGTTATATCATACTGTTTGAAAATTGTTAAGAAAAAAAAAAGCGAAGAAAAAGAGAGAAGATCGATAGAAAGTAGGTAAATTATGTGATGTCTGCCAGCAACACATCGTCTTCTTTTCTCTACGACGATCTATTTATGACTTGCTGTTGTCATAGTGATGAGATTTATTTTACCTTTTTGCATACAATATTTTATCTCGAGTTTATTACTTTTTCTTTCTAGTAGAATAGATTATTCTACTGCTTTTGCTTGGCCAAAAAAAAAAACAAAATAAAAAGCTGGATTATTTTTTTGAGTAGATCAGAAAGGAGAGAAAACCAATAACTGATGAAATCAGCAGTTTCGAGAAATGTGGTTTCTTCTATGTCAAACTCTTACACAAAGTTTGTGAAAATGATTTTTGATGGAGTCAGTTCTGTAACATTTGTTTGTGCTGTGTCTACGCTGGTTGAAATAGTCAATGACTGCCACATGTACACTGAATCCGAATGTTAACTATAATCGCCTTTTTTTTATCTATCATTTTGATAACCGTTTAGGCTAGTTTTCATATATTTTGATAGCACTTTTCAAGTACTAAAAAATAGTATAAAAATATCGAGAAAAAAAAAAGCAGTGGTTTCTTAGAAAAATTCTACGAATACTACTTTGAAGACATGATTTTTTATGTCTTTTTTTTTCACTGATATCCGGTTTATTTCGATCAGAAAAGTGCAACATTATGATATTCTAACTCAACATTTAAATCTGAATCGATTCGTGTCAATTTTTTTTTCGTTGAAAAAATTACCTCTGATTCACTTCAAGAATTAGTGAAAAATTGAAAACACAAATTTTATTGTTTACTCATCTGCGCGGCTAAGTTCTATTATCGTTTTATAACCATAAAGCTTCATTTCAATTGTTGAAATTATTTTTTGATAGAATTCATATTTTTACTCATCTCTGAGAGAGGAAACAGGGTCAATTTTTTCGACAAAAAACAATTACAT